TTGCTGCCTGGTGTAGGCGCCAAGCGTGCAGCAAGCCTGATTTACGGCTTTAGGGTTTACTGTAGTGGCTGGGAGTTAGTTAAGGTTTCAGGGTTTACTTTTTGTGGGGTTTGAGGTTGTAGGGTTTGAGCTGACCCAGGCCAGACTTTTTTTAAGGTTCAAGGCCCTCTTATAGTTGGGTCAGGGCAGGCAACCACATTGGGTTCTCATTAAGGGATCAGAGGTTAGGGCGTCGCTTGATGTCCTGGAACGCCGGCACATAAAACTATAAGTACTGTTGCTTAAACTAAGAGAAGTGGTGCTTCGCCTATACACTTGGGGATTAGCCATCCTAAAAAGGAAAACGAACGAACCTCAAGCCAGCTGCAAAAACCTAATGCGGGAATAGTTGACATGTACGGCGGCTTTGCGTCTACCAGCCACAACTCCACTTTCCAGTTCATGTTCCCGCTTGTTTGCTATTTGATTCTCCATTTTGAGGTGGCGTATCCGATATGATCCTATATAATCCTCGTATTCAGTCAGACCTACCGTTAAGGCCATAAGACAAACAATACTATGAAGAACAACAAAGATAATAATAATAATAGTAGCAATAATGGTAAACTAATACTCCATAGTTAAAGGCCTATGAAGGCCGACTGAGCAATCTTCGAAATCTTCTCACAACTTCTTTGCTTGCCTCTCTTTACAGTTGAACCCCTCAACCCCGTCATGGGAAAAAACTGCCTCAAGACTAAACTTTGAAACACAAATCCCTGGCTCTGAACACTAAGCCCCATACAAACCTCACATCCTCAACCGTAGATCCTAAGCCCGAAACCCTAAATCCTAAGCCCGAAACCCTACGTACCCTAAACCCTGAACTCCTAAGCCGTCTTTTGCGGGCTTACTTCTAATTGACTCAGCTGCCTGTCCCACCAAAGATGAAAAGTCCTATGATGAAGAAGAGGACGTAATCTCCTTGCAAGTTGCTTACTGGGGGTTTGGGGTGTAGGTTTAAGGGTTTAAGGTTTAAGGGTTTAGGGTTTAGGGTTTAGAGTTTAGACTTGAGGGTCTAGGGTTTCGGGGGCTAGTAGGGAATAAGGACTTACTGGGGGTTAGTAGGGACTATATTGGGATCATATAGGGATAAAGGAAAAGAACATGGAAACTGCTACATGGATTATAATAGGGTGTTTGGGGGTGAGTAGGAAATACGGGTATATTTTATGTAGGGATGATATTCCCCGATTCCCTACTGAGCACCACTAAAATTGTCAGAATCCTACGTTTCTGCAGCTTCACCTGCAAGGCTCCGGGATTCAAACCCTAAACCCAAGGGTCACCATCTTATTCTCGCAGTGTCCAGGTGTAGCTACTTGGGATTCATGGAGAAGGCCAGACTGCTTTAGGGTTTAGGGTTTAGGGTTTCGGGCCGTTCTGCGGTGCATGGCTTTCGTTGTAGGCAACGAGCTTCAACATGAAACGTCGCAACGGTACCAACGTATATGACAGCCCCTAAGACTGACTGGGGCTGGGAACAAGAGGAAAATTTCTTCGGCCCCTTCTTGAAGGGTTTAGAGGGTTTAGGGGGTTTAGAAGGGTAGGCTTTACAGTTTAGGGTTCCGAAGAAGACCCCACAGGTTTTTTTGTATGGACTGGTGGTGGCCTATGAATGTTAGTATTAGTAGTACCAGTGCTATGACTATGACCGTTATTACGATTGCTATCACAGTTACTTTTACTACTACTACTACTACTACTACGACGACGACGACGACGACGACGACGATTACTACTACGACTACTACTACTACTACTACTACTACTGCTACTGCTACTGCTACTGCTACTGCTACTGCTACTACGACGACGGTGCATAAACAAAATCGTGCATGACCTGGTAGATCAAGAGCACGCAATTGTCAGCGATCGAGCTCCCCCTGCCCCTCTAACCTCAATGTTGCTAACACATACGGGTCCTGCAGGATTTCGGTCATTCGCGCACATAGCCCTTTTGACCAATTTGGGGTAATCAATATTAAAACTCAGGGTTGGCAGGGATGCCTGGCGCAAGAAAACTGATGCAGGATTTCGTCCATCAACACTACTACTACTACTACTACTACTACTACTACTACTACTAGCGCCAGACCCTGAGAACTACATCGGCTCATCCAACGTCTGATAGGGGCAGAAACATGTTATGGCTCACTAATGCTCAAACCTAAACAGTCATCTTAACATTGCATGGCCAAACCCGAAACCCTCAAATCTGCACAATCCCTCAACTTCCCTATGGACGTCATACACCCTGATTTAAGCCAAGGCAGTCAACCCTGAAGCCCACCCTCTCCCGAATCCCCTACACCCCAAAAGTTGAGTTCTAAATCATGACAGCTACAGCCCACACCTGAACCTAAACCTCAAACTTTCGTCTTGAACCCTAAAACCCAGACTCTAAACCTGAAGCCCTAAGCCCTACATCCTTTTAGCAGCCAAGCTTGGGCTTGATGGATCCAAGTCTCCACTACTGCAGGACTCGCAGGTCTTACCACTCGGCCGCATGCCTGGCAAGCAGGCCTCCCGTGTCGGCTGCGCAAGAAATCTTTAGGGTTTAGGGTTTTAGGGTTTAGGTTTTAGGGTTCAGGCTTTTGGGATTTCCAAAGATGAGGATCCCTTTTGGACTCCCGCATTTGGAGGTTCCTACATTAAGGATCTTAGTTTTTTGGTGTATGTAATGGGGACCCCGATTTTTGGGGAAGTTTGAGCCTGCCTGTAGCTCTTATATTGAAATATGAAATGAAAACAGATTGGAATCAAGCATTCCATTGTAGTGTCGGTGCTAGATTACGAAGAGTAGTCCTGTAGAGTATGTTATCCTGCGTCTGAAACCAAAACAGCCAAGCAGGAAAGCCCTAGCTGCAAAAAGTTATTTACACGAGGATCAAAGGAGGATCATCCTCACTACTTAAGTTCGACAACATATAATATACATATATATATATATACCTGCGTCACACGGTTACAACTTTGAGAAAGCTCGAAATCACGACCATCCACCTCGCAGGCCACGCTTTGGGTGTCACGTCCAGCCGCACACTTGCCCGGGAGGCCGCCCGGGCAGAGGTCTGTGCTCTTGCACCTAAACACGGAACCCGGGTCCTCGCAGAGAAGGTGACGGGTTTTGGCGGTCGAGGCTTTGAGGGTTGAAGGCTTGAGGTTTAGGATCTACGGATTTCGAGTTTAAGGCGCGATTAGCAAAGACAGCTGAGAGCCCAAGAAGAGAAGTTGGCGTAAAGCAGCCATAAACCTATAAAAGCCGTGATGCTAACAAATCGGAGGAATGACGAACTCAGTTGCCTTTGTAGGGGGTTACAAAGATTTACAGGACCTCATGAGGCGCTTTTATGAGGAACAACGGTTGGTGACAGTGACAGTGGCCTTGCGAGGGGCAAGCACTAAGACAATAATGGCGCTAGGAGAAGTACTTGGGGGTTAGCTTCTTTTCCTGGTAAAAGCTGTAGGAGGAGGAGCGACAGGAGCAGAAGGAGGAGGTTGGGAGACAGGGGAAGCGGTGGAAGTAGTCATACGGATAGTAAAAAGTACCCAACTACCAAGGCAAAAGAATAAATGTAGGAATCCAGATAGCAAGGCAGAAGAGTAGTTTTGAAACATGGTTAGTACAAGATTCATATCTCATCAAGCATTGAAGCCCGTGGTAATCGTAATGACAACTTGGTGGAGAAGCCTGAATGATTAGGAAGACTACTGTATCCCTCGTAATCCCATATGTGTCTATAGCTTGTAATGGGAACCCACATATGTCTATAGCTCCTAAGGGAAACCCAGGAACCCAAACCGATACTTCAACTTCTTAGACCCCATGTGCAGTTTTTTGTCCTCTGCACTGGAGTAATAGCCCGGCAGGAGCTCCAACCTAACTCTTTAAGGGATTGCAATAACACCCCCCCCCCCCCCAAAGGTACACCCCCCCCCCAGATTTAGAGTTTAGGGTTTAGAGTTTGGGGTTTAGAACCCTGTTAGGCCTTATTAAGCCCTATATAGTCCTTCTTGGCTCCTTAAACCCTGGGGGGGGGTACCTTTGGAGGGGGGTACTATTGTAATCCCTTACTCTTCTTGGTAGAACTGCGAGGGTTAGGGGACCGCTCCAACCGTGGGCCCTTTGTATGGCATATACTTTAGGAGGACCCTCCACCCTGTAATAGTCATATGCTAGGAAGCTAGTATAATCACCGTTATCCCTCATAGTCACGAAAAACAGGGAGGTGGTCCATGTAACATATACTCTACATGTACTATGAAAGTAATTTAACTGAGTTCCTTAACAGAAACCGAGTCACGCCCCCAATCTTTCCAATCCAGCACCAAATCCTAAAGCCTAAGCCCCATACCCTAGCTCTGAACTCTAGACCAGAACCGCAAACCCAAGCCCCAAAACTTAGACCGTGTGGGTCTACCGGTATCAAGCTGGACTTGAGGGGGATTCTTCAAGCAATTCAGGCTTCAGCCCAGTCGTGAACAAAACTTGAAACTGTAGTAGGGCAGGACGGTTCGAACTGGCTCATTGACTGACAGGTTTAGGAAGCAAGAAGATGGTTGCCCAAGACAGGCCTATATATCAACCTATAGCCGGCACAGAAACATATAGTGGTGCATAGATATGATCAGAACATGTTTGGAGTATCTTGCAGCTTCAAACCTAAGGCACAAACTACTCTGAGAAGCCTCGAGGTAACTATTAACTCCGACTCCTGAAATGAGGCCACGCTGAGGTTTAGGGTTCAGGGATTATACAATCCACCATTTGGGGACGTTGCCCAGTGACCGATCGGAACCAGTGCACAAGGATCCGGCTGTGCAGGCTTGGCAGATGCCTTTGTGTCGAAACCAGCCGGCCATGCAGTGGCAGAAGCTCGCGGCATCTGCACCTTCCACTTGAATCCACCTGGGTAGTACAGGGGCCTCTATTCGAGGTACCTTAGAGCACCGTACTTCTACAAGGAACCTGGGACATTTTCTTGATAATATAATCTAGGCCCCCACGTGAAGGATACAACTATCCATACCCTGCCTTTAAAAAGATCTCTCACAGAAAACCCTACGAATAGAGCACGAGCTTGAGAAATTCCCGTCCTGTTTTCCCCGTACATCTGTGCGATGCGACTGGTAGTCCACTGTTCTCCAATCCCACAGCGCTGGCATGCGGTCATTCCCGACGCGTTCGCAAAGCTGCCAACTGTGCAGACGTCACAGCTGGAGCGGCCGCTGTCAGCAGCCGCCTGCAAAGGCATCCATCACAACAAAAGCCACATCATAGCAAAGGATGATCTGTTCCATAAGCGTTGCGGGACGTGCTTCAGTGTCTCACTGGCAGGGGGAGGGGGGTGATCAACAAGGGGTTGGGATTCAGTCGCACGATGCTCATAGCTCAGGCATTTTACCCCAAACTCCGCCAAAGTCACGAGATTTAAGCCATTTACACATGACGTTTCAACAGTTTAAAGGGCAAGATCATTCTCAGGATACGGCACATAGAAACCACATTCTGAGCTCTACCCGGGGTGAACTTGCCCCACACCCTACGCCGGACCCCGGATGTCCTACCTTTTTCTGAGTATACACCCGATGGGAATGCACGACGCAACTTACAAAGGGAAGCACATGCAGGGCCAAGAAACCCCCAATACCGAGAGATAGCACCGAAAAATGACAGGTTCCATTTGATTATTTGATTCTTCGTTTGAAGCTTCATCATTGGGGGAATAGCCCTAAACGCAAGACTACATGACAGTTTCCATTTTCTTCTACACGGCCCGGTTGCCTTGCCAGGGTCGCAGTATTCGCAAATGGTTCCTCCAGAGAGGCTCTGATAAGTGCCAGGAACGCAGGAACGGCATGTGTACGTTTCCCCAGCGTCGTCAAGCCTTATTTCAGGGCTTAGGGCTCAGGGTTTGCGGGGCTAGGATGTAGGATTTTATGGCGTCCTTAGTGTTGCAGGTTCTAAAGCTTGGTCATCTAATCTCTGCTCTTGCGTTCGCCGCAATGAGCCGTCATCGAGTGATAAGACACAACCAACCATGCATCCATCCTGAACATTCTTGACATACCACAGAGCCGGGCAGGAGCCAAGCAGCAGCGAGCTGGATGCCGTCCCATGCGAACAGAAGCTGCAGCTGACAGCTGCAGCACGAGATGTGACATATGTTCCTCAGGGATAGGCAGCATGTAAACTGATGGCTTTCTACTATCCCCTGGATATATCTGTGGAAACCAAAAGGAAATACGATGCAGTCCCCCGCTGCGATTATGAAGTTTTGCTTGGGAAAAGCTCCATGTCTTGTTTGGTCTCCTCATGGCCTCTTGCATCGACCAGCCCATAGCCCGGAAGGCAGCTCGTGTCCGCTCGCAACCAATTTCTCCACCTGTATGGGCAGAGATTATAAAACATGTAAAACCATATTTGTGAGGGCATAAACGGATTTAGAATGAATCTCCCTCTAAATCATGAACCTGGGTTCAAGAGGACGTGCACAAGAGTAACGGGATCGAAGTTCTTTTTGTGGTTTTGAGGCGAGAAACCTTCGATGTCACAACCCAGTAAGCCGGACTGGATCCTAGGTTCTAGCCGGGTTGCATACGGCACTTTCGCAGGAGTCAAGGACCTGCCGTATTCCCTGCCACCTTCCCAAAGTATGGTGTCGTGCTTATCGAAAGAGGCACCCTTCGCTCAAGATACTTTCGGCAGACCCCCCCCCCTGTAATAGCCATGTAACAGGAGTATAAGAGGACCCTACGATATTCACATAAAAAGATACTACCTAAACATGTCTAGGAGGTTCTCAAAATTAGCTCCCTGCAGAATTCTCAAGGGGAACCCCATTATCCCCTAGTAATGCTCACATATCCTGAGGATCCCTAAGAGGGGCCAAATTTGAAAAAAGGCGGTCACAAAAGTGCTTGATCCATTCCACGATCCGTATGGGTTTCAAGTTTGGGTCAATAAATGGATCCTGGGACTATTTCTGGTTGCTGTGGGGGCTTTGATTTGTGTCCACCTCTGGTTGTTGGACAAAACCCACTGGCAGGCAGCGTCATCGAGTGGCAAATCTTCTGCGGCCACTCTTGTCAACAGATTTTGTACCTCTGCAAGATCTAGCTGCAAGCTTTTCAGGAGCTCGTATAACTTGAAAGCTTGTACACGCAAGCCGCGTGTTACCAGCTTTCCGATATAGGAGCCCTCGGCCATAGTCCGTTTGTTTCCCTGAGCCCACTCTAAATTGCGGTGTCGCGGGAAGATGATGGGCTGCGGGTCCTGCTGCGCGAACCGCACATCTGGTCTGTACCAGTAGGTCAGCACGCGATTCTGGGTGAAGTGTTCAATGTTGTATTGAACTGTGCGGGATATACCAATTGCTGTGGGTATCCCATATGCTGTCGACCAGAACATGAAGACGTCAACAAGCCATCCCAAGCGATTCCTTCGGAGCTATTTTTTGGGCATCCAAAAAAAATCAGACACGCAATAGAGGGGTGAATGGTGTCGGGGGAAGGTCCAGCATAGGCTTCAGGATGAAAACACAGAAAGAATGAATCCTAAATCGCAAACCATCCACAACTACCCAATCACCATCTACTTCACCTTAATCCAAGGACTTTCTCGTCTGGCATCTCTACTACATGCAAAGGGAGTCTTGGCTTAACCCTGAGTTAAAGCCTAGACTCTAAACCCCAAGCCTTAAATCCCAAAACCCTGTTCACGCGGGCTTTCTATTGGGGGTTTCCCAAAAGCAGTGGTACCTTTTTGGGGGTCCCCATACTAAGGATTATAGTATTTTGGGGTCTACATTGGGGTCACCCTGTTTTGGGAGACTACCAATTCTGAACGAGCTTCGACACAATAGGAATGCAAGCAGAGGTGTTGTGCCGACAAGCTGGCGAGATCCAAAATCGCCCATCCGGACACCTGGCGTGGTATCCGTCGGCCACCTGAACTCTGAACTCTGAGTCAGCCTAGGAATCCCTAAACCCTAAACCCCTATGGGTTTAGGGTGTAGGGTTTAAGTAGTAGTTTCCATTCCATGTATTTTCCATTATCCCTATATAACCCTGTATTATACCTATACATTCCCTAATGTACAAGCATGCCGTCTTGGGTTTAGGAGTCTTTCCCTGGTGGCGTGCTTAAAAAAACATCTCTACTCGGGAACCAGGCCAAGTTCCTAGGGTTCTACACGTGGCTCTGGGTTTCCGCTTGGTTGAAGACTGCAGAAATCTGTAGAGATTAGAAGGAGGTTTGCGGAATCCTTGGTAGGATCTCTGCATACAGAGTGTCTGCACAACCCATCCCCTACATCCCAGCTGCGTGCTTCTTCTAAGAAGCCACGCTGATGTAGACACCCCTTTAATTGCTTTCCCTACAAAATGCCCTTGAGCCTTTTCGCAGTCAGATCTGTTAGCAACCCGGACGAACCCCTACAGAAGCCTTCATATTGGCACGCGCTCTTGCAACAAACTTGCCATCCAATACACTAGCCCCTAAACCCTCAGGTCACCTTGACATCCTCTGCCTCAGACACCCAAGCATACGCCTACATGCCAACTTACCTCAGGAATACAATTCGCTCTTGAGCGGTAGCTTGCGACAGCTAAAAGTTCAAAAGGACGGCTGCGAATTCTCACGGCTGCGACCCAGTCAACCCCTATCCAGCCAAGCCCGCATAGTCCAAGTGTTGTTCTTGTTGCAAGCCTGCTCTTCCTTAGGAGGTACACGCATGTGAGCCCCAAGCCACCTCAATGAGACCCTCGAGATCACCAGTCCACTGGGCGTAGGGGTTCATGGAGGTCGGCTCTGTCCAAAGCCGCCCAGACTCGTTGCAGAAGGCTATCTCCTCAATGCTCTTGGCAGGTTGAGAGCTGGGCATGGGACCTTCCTCTCTCTGCCTGGTTGAGAAAAGGCTAGCAAACAATTGAATAGTCTCTTTTTGGTGGTTGATAGAATCTTACTCTATATTGGGTACCATAGTATCCCCAAATAAAATACTACTCAATTGTGTCTCCTTTGGGGTCTTCAGTCCCGGGAGTGATGTGAGGTTCTGGGAGGGGTTGGGGGTCTGGCCACGAGAGAGGGCTGCTGCACTTTGATTTGAAGTCGCCCCTGGCCCAAAAAGCAAAAGCGCCGCCTGTAACTTTCGCAAGGCCTCTCTGATCAATAAGACTAGCTGGATGCGTGAAGCGCTTCAAACTCAAAGCCATTTGTGCTGCCTCCCTGGTGTTATTGCTGCAGATCAACAGGGAGCGCCATGCCCAACATCCGTATGCAAAAGCCGCCTAGCATGTGGGAAATCCCAAGTCAACGAAGCAGCAAACCGAGCCACGCAGAATCCTATGACAATAGTTTCCTGACCGCCGTGCCTGCAACTGCGAACGTGCCAGTATGAATCTCACTTAACTCGGGGAAGTGTCCACTTTGACCCTAAACGTTTGAAAGAAAATGCCGCCATGTCCTCGGCAGGCAGGTCGCTCAGCTCGTCGAAATGCTTCTTGGCATTGTAATGCCTCAGCATTTGCTTTTTTAGAGGTTGGGTGTCTAGCTTTCAAAGTATCGGATTTGGAGCGTAGGAGCGTCAGGGTACGGAGGTTGTAGCGCTTCGAGCTTAGGGCCTATGGCGGCTTAGGATCTAGTGCGTATGTGATTCAAGGGCTCCAGGTTTGGCTTTATCAGGCTTTGGGGCGTGAACAATATGGATCTTCTGGGGTGCTCTATACAAACCCTAGACCCTAAGCCCAAAGACGTAAACCCTGACCCTACCCAAAACGAAATAAGACAAGGAGTGCGCTGGAATTCTCGGGAGAGGTTGCGGGGTTGCAGAAGAGTCTGAGGTCCCTTGCGTCCGTTGAGCTTCATGGGGTCTATGGGGAGCTTACACTGCCAAGCCTTTCTCTGAACCCCTTCTGTGAGAAGTCACAGCTTGCCAAGCAATTGGGGGTAGACCCTAATCCCTAAACCCTGAATTCCGGTCCTCTGGCTTCAGCATGAAGCTTGGTATGCCTACAGCCTTGCAATACAAAGCATGTTTACGGATCCATTGCGCCAAGATTAAACGACCCCCTTGTCGCCCAACGGTGAATATGCCTTCCCCTGAACCTCCTCCTCCTGGCTATCCCAAAACCCTAACCGAAAACCTACCGAACCCTGCGGAACCTACCCTTTGAAGAATATGCCCTCTTCATACATCTACATTAGGTGGACCCCCCACCCAGTAATAGTGACTGTTATGGATAATAGGGATTATATGAGGGTCCTCTTATCTTCCTACTATACCACCATTACAGGGTGGGGGGTCCACCTAACATCTACATGTATACGTATACCCCTAGATCCTAAGCCCTCCAAACTGAAGCTTCGCAACTTCGGGGCTTGAGATGAGAGAGGCTACCGGCCTTTGGGAAGGGTTTAGGTTCAGTACTGCCCCGCCTCAGTAACAGTTGGATAATAATTATACTATGGCTATATATAGCCCTTAATAGGACCCCTAATATAGACTCTTACTGTAGGGTAAGTAAAATCCCCTCATGAATTGATGAATTTCTGTAGATCCTCAAGGAGAAACATATCCCTCCTTTAAGAAATCCTCCAATCATCCTTGCTCCGGCGTTTTGAGGGCTTGCTCAGAATCCCTTAGGGTTTAGGGTTTAGGGTTTAGGGTTGAGGGTCTAGGGTTTAGGGTTGAGGGTTTAGGGTTTAGGGTTTAAGGCTCCTCCAAAAGCCTCACAACCTGAAATCCCATCCCTTATTCTTGATCGAATCATGCTGAGGGTATGGTTGATAAATTCTTCTACAACCGACGTTCAATCCGTTTTGAGAAGGTCGCCCCGAACCCCGAACCCCAAATGGCAGTTTCCTAAACCCTAAACCCTATATAACCCATTTTAGTAGTTTCCATTTTCTTTTCCATTCTCCCCATATAACCCCAATATATAGCCCTAATATAGCCTAGTAGTTTCCATTTTCTTTTCCATTATCCCCATGTAAACCCAATATATACTTCTAAATAACCCCTATAATCCCTGTAGTTTCCATTTTCTTCTCCATTATCCCCATATAAACCCAATATATACCCCTAAATAACCCCTATAATCCCTGTAGTTTCCATGTTCTTCTCCATTGTCTCCATACAAACCGAATATATACCCCTGAATAACCCCTATAATCCCTGTAGTTTCCGTGTTCTTCTCCATTATCCCCATATAAACCCAATATATACCCCTAAATAACCCCTATAATCCCTGTAGTTTCCATTTTCTTTTCCATTATCCCCAAAAAAAAACAATATAGTTGGGTATCGTAGGCACCTCCAGGAATGAACCTCGAATTGTTGGAAAGCTCGCAAATGAAACATACCCAGGCTGCGAGTTGTTGTAGCTCATATAAAACTGCAAGGCGTGCCCCGTGCTGCCATAGGCTTCCTGAAGGACCTGGTTTAGGGGTTAGCGTTTGGGGTTTAAGTGTTGGGGTTTAAGGTGTAGGGCTCAGAGTTTAAGGCTTAGTGCTCTATAGCTTTAGGGTCTAGGGGCCAGGCAGGCATGCTACAAAACACTCGTGTTATCAACCACACTAGAACTATAGTGGATATATGGGAAACCGTAGTTTGTGGTAGTCTCGCCCAGCTGATTTTAAAAGAGCCTTGGGAGGTAGCATGCTAGAATTGTTTTGCAAAGGCTGTGAGGGGAGAATCCCCTAAACCCAGTGCTAAACGCTGAAGGCTTCTAGATTCTCAAGCCTGCAAGGCTCTTGGATTACTGCAGTTACGGACCCAGGATCTCTAGTAGCCACTGCTGGGTACTGCAATCTGCAGCGTCAACCGTCCTTGCTGTGCCAAATAAACAGTAAAAAAAAACACAGAAAGAAAAGAGATCCTTTGCAAAAGGAACACGGCAAATACTACACTTTCCTCGTGGAGCTTGATCACTCAATCCGCAAACCTCGGCCTTTCAACTTTTGGCCCTGAGCCGAATACAAAAAATGCGTCAAACAGTTTTTCCGCAACGCGCTCCAATTCAAATCCACCTGTCCATCACGCGGCTGCCACTAGTTTAGAAACTTGGTGGGTGGAGCCGGTGGAGCCAGAACCCTTCCCCCCGCCCCACCCCCCCAACCTGCAAAACCTTCACCTCTGCAACTGAAACCCCAAATCTTATCTTCCAAAACCCTATTCAAATCGCTACTGAAAAGAACCTGATCGCTGTTCAGCCCCGCCTCTTGGGAGACGTACAGCGCCTCTTCGCCAGGATATCCCATGGAACCCAGATCTTCCGGGACCAGTTCGGGATGGCGCTGTCTGAAAATCCTTGGAAACTCAATGCTCTTCCTTTACTATTACTACCATGATTATTGTTTTGTTATTTGCTACCATCACTATGAGAGGCAGTACTAGAGGTTGAGGGTTC